GTTTGTTAAGTTATTTTCAGATTACAAAGGGCCGGGCCTTTCACATGCAAAAGCCTCTGCGTATGGCTTGGGTGGGGCGGGGTCTCAGGGGATCAAAAGGGCGGGCCGAGCGAGCCAGCAGTATGGCTGCTCTCAGTCCTGCCTTCAGAGGTCCTGGCAATCGCCGCAAGTGCCTCCGAGAGAAAGCTGCCCTCGAGTTCCGACCGATGCCAGACAGTCCCGTTTCTCCCATATGAGTCTGGGTCCCGAGAGACTCGCCCGGAACTGGAGCTCAGAGCCTGAGACTCCCTCCTGATTGAGAAAGACAATCGTGTCCTCAGCCGCCAGCCCTCTCCGCATGCACCTCCGCACCTTTGTATTTACTTCCGCACCGCACCTCCTCTGAGTCTCGGTATGCTTTTCTCTTTCAGAAAAGGAAACATTTAAATAAGTTATTTAAACAGTTCTCTACTGGAGTGGTTTTTTTAAAAAAATATTTTAAAATTAATTTCAGAGAGGGAGAGAAAGGGAGAGAGAGAAACATCAATGATGAGAGAGAATAATTGATCAGCTGCCTCCTGCTCCCCACAATGGGGACTGAGCCCCCTCCCTGGGCATGTGCCCTTGACTGGGAATCAAGTTGTAATCTCCTGGTTCATAGGTCGATTCTCAAACACTGAGCCACACCAGCCGGGCATCTGATGGAGTGATTTTTATCCCCATTTTATATCTGTGGAAACTGAGATTAACCAGGAGAAACACATCGGCCAACATCTCCCCAGTGGCCCGGTTTGAATGACTCTGAAGCCCAATTTCCATCCTATTCTCCATTAAGGTTGCAAGAAACTTAAAATTATTGTTCCAGAATTCTCTTTATTCAGTTGGATCATTCCTCAAGTATCTGGTGGCCAAGTATTGTCTGTGTTGCCTTCCAGGAATCTTGGGACCTTTGGCTTATTTCTCAGGAAGTGACCCTTCCATGAGTGGACAGAAGCCAGTTATTTGCACGGTGTCTTCAAGGCACATGCTCTATGCCTGGGATGTGCAGGAGGTGAGTCTGGCAATGAGCACACAGGTGACCCCTACCTGTGGCCACCCTGTCCCACAGGCAAAGCCAGTGCTGGGAGGAAGGTGCTACTCAATTGGTAACAGAAACGGTTTCCAATTAGGTCTTCTAACCAGTAACCTGCGACTTTTTCATTTAGACTATAGCATGTAGAGAATTCACTTTTTAAATTTTTTATCCTCACCCAAGGATATTTTTTCCAAAAAGAGAATGGAAGGGAGGGAAGAGAAGGGGGGAGAGAGAAAGAAACATCGATGTGAGAGAGACACATCAATTGTTTGCCCCCTGCAAGGGCCCCAGGCTGGGGAAGAGCCTGCAACTGACGTATGTGCCCTTGACCTGGGACCCTTCATTCTGCAGGCCAGAGCTCTATCCACTGAGCCACACCGGCTAGGGCTACATAATTCCTTTTTTTTAAAAAAATATATATTTTATTGATTTTTCACAGAGAGGAAGGGAGAGGGATAGAGAGTTAGAAACATCGATGAGAGAGAAGCATCGATCAGCTGCGTCCTGCACACTCCCTACTGGGGATGTGCCCGCAACCAAGGTACATGTCCCTGACTGGAATCGAACCTGGGACCCTTCAGTCCACAAGCTGATGCTCTATCCACTGAGCCAAACTGGTTAGGGCCATAATTCCTTTTTAATGTTCACTACCCCTCAAAAAGCTGAGATGTGTAGCAGAATTTTCTTAATTCTATTCCCAGAAAAAATACACCTGGTTTGGAGGAAGCTTCCACATAAGCCCTGGCAGGATGCACGCCCCGCACGTGGGAGAGTCCCCTGAACGCAGACAGCATTACTCTCGTTTCCAGGGCGTTATGATCTGGTCCAGCCCCGCCCAGCAATGCCACATCAAGTGTCTGGCGACCCTGCCGCAGAGATCGCTTGCAGTCACCATGGATGCATGGAACACCATCAAAGTGTGGAACTGTCGGGATGCGAACCCTCTGGCGACGCTCACCATGAGCACTTGCTGCGTTTCCTTGGAAGTCTTCCTCACGGATGGCGGCGCCTTCCTGCTGGTGAGCGAGCCCTGCATCTGGAGGGGCCACAGTGCCCACAGCGCCCACTGCCTTGGCGGGTGGTGGGGCCCCATGATGGTCACCTCTCAACCTGCCCTCTTCTCTCTCTTTCTTTCTTTCCCTTTCCTTTCCTTTCCTTTCCTTTCCTTTCCTTTCCTTTCCTTTCCTTTCCTTTCCTTCTTTCCTTTCTTTCTTCCCTTTCTTCCCTTCTTTTATTTTCTTTCTTGTCTAAAGTTTTACATATGTCTCTTTTTTCCCCATTGACCCCCCCCAGCCACTCCCACCCCCAAGGGCAAGGCCCCACCGGCCCAGTGTGTGTGTCCATTGGTTATGCTAATATGCGTGCGTACAAGTCCTTTGGTTGCTCTCTAACCCCTCTTCCCCTACCATTTGTCTCTGGATCTATTCTTGTTCATCCAATTATGTTGATCATTATATCCCACATATGAGTGAGATCATGTGATATTTCTTTCTCCGTCTGGCTTACTTCGCTTAGCATAATCCTCTCCAGGTCCATCCATGCTGTTGCAAATGGTAAGAATTCCTTCTTTTTTATAGCAGCGTAGTATTCCATGTGTAGATGTACCACAGTTTTCTAATCCACTCATCTGTTGATGGGCACTTAGGCTGTTTCCAAATCTTAGCTATTGTAAATTGTGCTGCTATGGACGTAGGGGTGAAATCAGAAACGCCAATCAGAAAGGACATATCGATTGGTTGCTGCCTGCATGCACCCTAACCAGGGCACCTGCAACTGAAGTACGTGCCTTTGATCAGAATTGAACCCAGGAGCTTTCGGTCCTCAGGCTAATGCTCTATCCGCTGAGCAACACCAGCTAGGGCTCAACCTGTCTTCTTGCAGCATCTCTATTATCACATCCTCTCAGAGTCACAACATGCCAATGAATATTGGCCATACAAATCTTTATACTATCTTGGCCTTTGTTATACCTCAGGTACATTTCCTCAGTAATTCTTCTCAAAGAAAAACACCAACCTTCTTGTATTATTTTTTATCTAGTTTCTTCTTTCAAGTATGTCTTATTGTGGAGGACATGAACTTGGACAGGGATATCATGTAGGGAGAGACGTGGGTTTGGGGAGACATGGAGAAAAAGTAGAGTGTTGATGTGCAAATCAGTCAGTAGCCTGGGGTGGCTTCAGGGCTTAGAACATTTTATTCCTTGGGATCATCCCAGTGACCTTGTGGGGCAGGCTGGTCACATGATTGAAGAAATGGTGGTACCGCCCTAACTGGTTTGGCTCAGTGGATAGAGCGTTGGCCTGCAGACTGAAGGGTCCCAGGTTCGATTCCCAAGGGCACATGCCCGGATTGCGGGCTCAATCCCCAGTGTGGGGCATGCAGGAGGCAGCCAATCAATGATTCTCTCTCATCATTGATGTTTCTACCTCTCTCTCTCCCTCTCCCTTCCTCTCTAAAATCAATAAAAACATATTTAAAAAAAGAAAGAAAAATTGTGGATTGGTTGCCTCCCGTAGCTAGGGTTTCACGTCTCCTTCTATTGACGTGGTGGTGGGCGGTGCTTTGGTTTCAGATCGGTGACTTTTACGGGGACATCTACACACTGACGTTGCCTGAGTTAAAGAGCATTTCTCACGTGAATGCATTGGAGTGCCCTTTGGACTATCTGCACAGCTCTCCCAACAGGAAATGGATCTTCGCCTGCGGGACCCACCTAGGCGTATTGCCAAAGGTAGGGGCTGCCCGGTGTGCCTTGGCCTCAGGAGGAGGGGGTCAGGGTTCGGAGGCTGGAGGCAGGAAGCATTAGCCAACAGGCAGAGCTCAGCGAGGACCAGTCAGACCGCCCCCTCCTCTCAAGGCCACAGAACAGGCAGCATTCATTCCTAGAGCCAAGAAACACTGTCCTTGGGAGCAACAGCGTCCATTCACAGAGACAGATGTTTGTGAGTGAAACTTTGCGCATGGGGCCTGCGTCGGCCAAAGGGATGGAAGAGGGTGAGAGAGAGACCAAGAAGTAGGACCTGGGTCACGTTGGCTCTCCTTACATGACGGTTAGCTGCCTGGGCTGGACAGTACCAAGCCCAGAAGGAAATAGAAGTGCACCGGCCTCTGAATGTCTCTGTGAGAAAGTGGTATGTGAACAGGCCTTATTTTCATTTTCTTTTTTAATTCTTACCTGAGGATATTTTTCCCACTGATTTTTAGAGAGAGTGGAAGAGAGAGGGAAAGACAGAGAGAAATATCAACGTGACAGAAACACATGGATTGGTTGCCTCCTGCTCGAGCCCCCATCAGGGCCCAGGCCAGGGAGGAGCCCACAACTGAGGTACATGCCCTTGGCCAGAATCAAACCCAGGACTCCTCAATCCACAGGCCGACGCTCTATTCACTGAGCCAAACCGGCCAGGGTGAGCAGGCCCTTTTACATGGTGCATGTGCATGCGCACCAGAGGGCAAGGAACTCGGGGAGGCAGCAGCAAAGGCGGATCAGCCCTTGACAAGTCCTCCAAGAAGGGAGATCCTACTTGGCCAAATGCAACCTGATTGGGGGTTGGGGATCCAGTGTGGCCACATGCTTTTGGAACCCAAGGGAAGCTTTGGGGACTCTGCTCTGTGTGTGACCATGATGGGCAGGATAGAAAGACAGTGAGTGACAAGCAGTGACTATGCAAGGCTTCCTGAGATTCAGAATAAAGCTTTGGCCACAGTGGGGGATTTTTAAAAAATTGAGTTCAGAGAGGAAGGGAGAGGGAGAGAGAGAGATAGAAACATCAATGATGAGAGAGAATCATTGATCAGCTACCTCCTGCACGCCCCCTACTGGGGATGGAGCCCGCAGCCCTGGCATGTGCCCTTGGTTGGAATCAAACCAGGGACCCTTCAGTCCGCAGGCCGATGCTCTATCCACTGAGCCAAACTGGCTAGGACAGTGGTTCTCAACCTGTGGGTCGCGACCCCTTTGGGGGTCGAATGACCCTTTCACAGGGGTCGCCTAAGACCATCGGAAAACACATATATAATTCCATATTGTTTTTGTGATGAATCACTATGCTTTAATTATGTTCAATGTGTAACAATGAAATTGGGGGTCACCACACCATGAGGAACTGTATTAAAGGGTCGCAGCATCAGGAAGGTTGAAAACCACTGGGCTAGGGCCACCGTGGAGGATTTTTAAGGAGGGTTTCCTGGTGTGGCTCCTGCACTGAGACGCTGTAACCACTCACTGCTCCTGAACGCACACGCACTGGTCTCTCCTCAGGTGTTTCTGGCGGAGTGCTTACTGAGACCGGCCGTCGGCAGGGCCCCTCTGTTCGTCTCTCTGCCATTTGCATTTTGCAGCCAAGCCCGCTGGGCCCTGATGTGCGTAAACAGGCTGACAATTATGTTCCATAGAGACATTTTGAGGACAGGGTTCACCACCTTTGATCTGACAGCTGAGCACACTGGGGGCAGCACAGCCATCGAAGGTAGGCTAAGCTGCCTTGTCTCTCCTGCCAATCACACTCGCTCTCATGTTAAGCCAGTGATGGCGAACCTATGACACGCGTGTCAGAGGTGACACACGAACTCATTTTTTTGGTTGATTTTTCTTTGTTAAATGGCACTTTAATGTATAAAATAAATATCAAAAATATAAGTCTTTGTTTTCTCTGGTTGCAAAGATCAAAACATTTCTATATGTGACACGGCACCAGAGTTAAGTTAGGGTTTTTCAAAATGCTGACACGCTGAGCTCAAAAGGTTCGCCATCACTGTTTAAGCTATAGACGTCTGTAAATAGGCCAATCTCTGTGCAGGGGCAGGGGCTTTCTTAACTGGAGGCTACCCCGTGCCTGTCTGACTGTTAAAAAACCCCCCACATTTTTATGATTTCGGAGAGAGATAGAAACATCCACGAGGAGAGAGAATCGTGGATCGGCTGCCTCCTGCAGGCCCCCTATTGGGGATCAAGCCTACAACCTGGGCATGTGCCCTGATCGGGAATCAAACCGTGACCTCCTGGTTCATAGGTCATCGCTCAACCCTGAGCCATGCCGGCCGGACGAGAGTCTAATTTTTCATTCAGGGTAAGGATATGGTTCTGACTACAGGACCCAAAATCTGCCTGGTCATGTGTGCATATGTTTTACATGAAAACAGCCCGTCAGATTGCAAGCTTCATGCTGTCACCTGGTATGTTTGTTCCTGCTTGGATGGGAGTCCGTGACGGAACCACGATTGTCTTTGAATGCGGTCCACGCCTGTTTCTCTTCACCATCGAAGGCCTCCTGCTGACAGAATTTTGTGACCACGAGAACATCATCTGCTACTTATGGACGGTATGTATGCCCTTCTCCTCCCTGCACTCGGTCTCCAACGTGGACGCTGGGCCGCTCACCCTGGGTCTCCTTTGCAGGACTCTGTCCACGTCCTCACCACATCCAGGGATAACTACCTGCACCTGTACATGTGGGACAAGGAAGACTGGCATCCGAGCCTTCAGAGCTGCTGTCACCTGGAGCTCAGAAAGGGTGACATTAGGCCAAACTGGTAAGCCCTGCTTTGTAACTTAAACTCTTCCTAACGATTTTAAATGTCTACATTAAACAAATTAATCAAGGGTTACTAGGATTAAAAAAAAAATTTCTTTGCCCTAGCCCAGCGGTTCTCAACCTGTGGGTCTCGACCCCTTTGGCAGTCGAACGACCCTTTCACAGGGGTCGCCTAAGACCATCCTGCATATGAGATATTTACATGACGATTCATCACAGTAGCAACATGACAGTGATGAAGTAGCAATGAAAATAATTTTATGGTTGGGTCACAACATGAGGAACTGTATTTAAAGGGCCAGAAGGTTGAGAACCACAGCCCTAGCCGGTTTGGTTCAGTGGAGAGAACGTCAGCCTGGGGACTGAAGAGTCCCGGGTTTGATTACGGTCAAGGGCACATGCCTGGGTTGCAGGCTCGATCCCAGTAGGGGGCGTGCAGGAGGCAGCTGATCAGTGATTCTGTCTCATCATGGATGTTTCTATCTCTCTCCCCTCCTCTCCCTTCCTCTCTGAAGTCAATAAAAATATATTTTAAAAAAGATTCTTTGAGGATATATATAACTAGACTTAAGCCCCCAAAGAGAATTGCTTATTCTTGAAGTCCACAGCTTTTGCAATAGATTTCAAAGGGCTTTCCAAAATGGCTCTCAGTTTATGTTCCTACAAGTGCTGTGTGAAGATTCAGCCTTGATGTCCCATCTTTACTTGTAAGGTTCTCGTTTGTTTTAGTTCATTAGTCATTTGAGTTGCTTCTTTCATGAACTGCCTTTATCTTTATTTTACTTATTTTTTCTAGATTGCTTGCCTTCATCTACATTGTTTTTCTTTTTTCCTTTTTAGAGAGAGTGTAAGGGAAGGAGGGGGGTGGGGGTGAGAGAGAGAGAAAGAAAAAGGGAGAGAAAGAAATATTGATATGAAAGAGACACATCCTGTCTATATGTCTCTCAATTTATTTAGGTCCACTTTGGTTGCCTCTTGGAGGTGCTCCGATCCAGGCCAGGGATGGAACCTGCAACCCAAGTACATACCCTTGGCTGGGAATCAAACCCATGATCCTTCGGTGTGTGGGCTGACGCTCTAACCACTGAGCACACTGGCTGGGCAGTAATCGGCATAAGTTTGCCAGGTCTACAGTTACTCAAAACCAAATCCAAAAGTGACTTCTAAGATCAAAGGGGTAGTTGATTTGAAGGGAATATTTATGTCTTTGTCAGATTCAAATTTAGTATCGTCAACAATAGACCTACTTCCCCTTTTGTCCACTTGAGGATGTTGTTTTGTCTTTTGGCAGCTATGACCCCATAGCGATCTGTGACAACACGAGCATAGTGTGTGTGGTGTCAAAGTGTGGTGGAGCCACCGTCCTGGTGATGTATTCTTTGAATATGTGATACGGAAACTAATGCAGTTCACCTGGCATCAACTTCCTCGTTGTAGTAAAGAGAATTCTATTTGCAAACCCAGAATGATTATTTTAGTGATATTAAAAAAAAACCCAGCAGTAATTTATAACGAATCAGACACTGTGACAGATACCACAGATCACACACTAGTAAGACAGAGGGTGGGGAAACATATCCTTTGCCCGTGCAATCAGGGAGAGAGGAAAATACTAAGGTAGCAGAATGTGAATGGTCACACAAATACACAATTCCAGACAATTCCACAGAAGCAACTTACAGGGCAGTGGTTCTCAACCTGTGGGTTGTGATCCCTTTGGGGGTCGAATGACCCCTTCACAGGGGTCACCTAAGACCATCGGAAAACACATATATAATTACATATTGTTTTTGTGATTAATCACTATGCTTTAATTATGTTCAATTTGTAACAATGAAAGTACATCCTGCATATCAGATATTTACATTACAATTCATGACAGTAGCAACATTACAGTGATGAAGTAGCAATGAAAATAATTTTATGGTTGGGGGTCACCACAACATGAGGAGCTGTATGAAAGGGTCGCGGCATTAGGAAGGTTGAGAACCACTGTTATAGGGGAAAGCGCGGGTTTAGGTTGAGGCTGGTTTAAAAGGGAAGGCATCTGTGTCAGGTAGTCTGTGTTCTTGCCTGTAAGGAACCCAACTAAATCCTGTAAAACTTAAGCCAAAGGAGATGTATTAGAAAAATATAGAGGTTCATATCGAAACATAGCTGGAAGAGACTCAGGATATACATGGCAATAAAAATGCTCAAAAAGACCGAGAAATAGAAAATACATCAAAAGCTCAATCACATGAATGTGCATATCCCCAGGGCCATTGTAATGGATATGATAAAGAACTGGCCCCCATCCTTGTATCACTAGCTCAGGATTCCGAGTTCTGGGAGCGAGTCCTAACAAATCAAGCCTAAAACACAAGGGCCTACTCTCCTGACTTTATGGGGAGGGGAGGGTTGGAAGAAAGATGATCTGAGGGGTTATAGATAGTAGTCTAATGGAAATGTAATCTCAATGGGAGATTTCTCCAAAGAGCCATGTGGGTGTCTAAGTTAAGTGCCTACTCCTCTCTGTAGAAACAAATTTGAAGCTGTTACCAGGAGGATAGGAGAAGGAAAGCTCACTGAAGGGTCTATGCCAGCGGTTCTCAACCTGTGGGTCGCGACCCCTTTGGGAGTCGAACGACCCTTTCACAGGGGTCGCCTAAGACCATTGGAAATCACATATATAATTACATATTGTTTTTGTGATTAATCACTATGCTTTAATTATGTTCAATGTGTAACAGGGAAATTGGGGGTCACCACCACATGAGGAACTGTATTAAAGGGTCGCGGCATTAGGAAGGTTGAGAACCACTGGTCTATGCAGAAGGGCCAGGTTGGGCGGAGAAGATGACCTGAGATGCATTATAATCAGTCCCCTGTCTGATTGATTCAGAATCAAAGGAAGTCTGTGTGGCTGGAGTCAGTGATGGGGAGTAGACACCAAGACAAGGTGGAAAGTCAAAGTGTCAACTCAGAAATTTGCAGGATGTAACTTAAATATTTAATATATTAAGTTGAATGTAAGATTATTTTGTTTTCTTTTGTGTTTTGTAGCAAAGGAGAAAAAAGACCTATATATTTTTAAAATATATTTTTATTGATTTCAGAGAGGAAGGAAGAAGGAGAGAGAGATGGAAACATCAATGATGAGAGAGAATCATTGATCGGCTGCCTCCTGCAAACCCCCCACTGGGGATCAAGCCCACAACCTGGTATGTGCCCTTGACCAGAACTGAACCTGGGACCCTTCAGTTCGCAGGCTGACGCTCTATCCACTGAGACAAACCGGCTAGGGCAAGACCTATATTTTTTAGACCTGTTTTTTTAAGGAGTCTTTTCATTGCCATTTAGAAAATTGATTTAAAAGTAGTCATAGAGTCCTGGCCCATGTGGCTCAGTTGGTTGAGTGTTGTCCCATGCACTGAAAGATCGCCGATGCAATCCCCAGTCAAGGCACATGCCTGGGTTGTGGGCTCCATCGTTGGTCAGTGTGTGTGTGGTAGGCAGTGGATTGATGTTTCTCTCTCCCTCTTCCTTCCTCTCCCTCTAAAATCCATGAAAACATATTTTAAAAAATAAAAATAAAAAATAAAAGTATCCATAGTGACTGAAGAGAGCCAGTTGAGCCATTTTCTTTCTTCTTCTTTTTAAAAATATTTTTATTGACTTCAGAGAGGAAGGGAGAGGGGGAGAGAGATAGAAACATCAATGATGAAAGAAAATCATTCATCCTGCACGCCCCCTACTGGGAATGGAGCCTGCAACCCAGGCATGTGCCCTGACTGGGCATCAAACTGTGACCTCCTGGTTCATAGGTTGAAGCTCAACCCCTGAGCCACGCTGGCCGGGCGAGATTTGTGCATTTTATTGAATGCATCGAATCCAAGGCCAGGATTCCTCATTCTTTATATCTCTCAATCTAGTGTCCCATTCCTTGCCATCTGCACTCTCCTGAAACCCCTTAGTACACATGCAAATCACAGTCATTATGGCATCCTAATTCCCCTTTAATTTACCAAAGAGGGAGGGCCAGAAACCAATATGCAAAGGCACAAGGCTTTATTTAGGCAGTCAGCAGTTTCTGGAGGGTTCCTAAGAGTCCTGCTTGGTGTCCCAGTAGAATGGCTGTGCAGGATTCAGGATAAAGTGCTGTATATCTTTTGAGCTGGGAAACATGAACACGAGTATCAGTACCTTGGAGTTTTATTGCTGTGTCAGCTGTTAACAGTACCTGATGCCTTTTCCATGATTTGAGATAATACAGGGGCAGCTTGTACCTGTTGGTGATAAAGCTGGAGGCATTGTATGAGTTCCCTGTGGTAATTAGTCATATTAGCTTGTAATAGGGTAGAGTCTAGGATTGGAAGTACTTTCTAAATGTGTCAGGTAACTCATTATCAACTCAGAAGGAGGTAACTTGTGGATCCTAGAAGGGACAGATCTTATTGCCATCAAGGAAAATACTTTAGGCCACGCACGTTGAAGGGGTTTCTGAGCACTTTGACAATTTTGGTAACGTGGGGATAAGGACACATATGTAATAACTTAATCAAAAAGAATTCTATTAGTTATCTGCACTTTCCTAAATTTATGGATGACAAGGATGGCGCCATTCTAAGAGATAAGAATAAAAAATTACGTTGTGACGGTGTTTTGTATCTTTCTTATTTATTTTAAAAATATATTTTATTGATTTCAGAGAGGAAAGGAGAGGGAGGGAGAGAGAGAAACATCAATGATGAGAGGGAATCATTGATCAGCTGCCTCCTGTATACCCCACACTGGGGATTGAGCCCAAAACCTGATCATGTGCCCTGACCGGGAATCGAACCGTGACTTCCTGGTTCATAGGTCAATGCTCAACCACTGAGCTACACTGGCCAGGCTCTTCTCTCTTATTTAGAAACTGCCCAGGTGTCCAAAGATTACTTATTAATTAACCGAATTTATATAAGGTCTGAAAGTTATTCTAGTTATGAGAAAAGAAGAAAAGAACTTAATTCCAAGATAAAGAGCTTTTGCTATGACTAAATCTTTAAAAATTAGTTTACCATTGGGACCTTCAAATTTCAATTTTAGCTAACATGTGAATCCATGTGATTTGTAGCAATTTAAAAATTTCATAAAATTAAAGTCTTCACAAAAGATGTTATTCCATTTAGCTGTTCATATGTATATGTATTCATATATATTCATACACACACATGAAGTTATGGAAACAATGGTAACTTAACTCATAAAACCAGTGTGGGAAAGTCAATTTAAATAATTAAACCAAAATATTGTGCTGACAGTATTTTTAAATGGGGATCGAGCTGAGCCTGCAACCCAGGTACCTGCCCTTGACCAGGAATCAAATCTGAGACCCTTCAGTCTAAGGCAGTGGTTCTCAACCTTCCTAATGCCGCGACCCTTTAATACAGTTCCTCATGTTGTGGTGACCCCCAACCATAAAATTATTTTCGTTGCTACTTCATCACTGTAATTTTGCTACTGTCATGAATCATAATGTAAATATCTGATATGCTATATGTGTTTCCCGATGGTCACGACCCACAGGTTGAGAACTGCTGGTCTAAGGGCTGACATTCTATCCACTGAGCCAAAGCGGCTAGGGCAGGACTTATATTTTAGACAAAACCAATCTCCTCATGTGGGTTTCTTCCCTTTTAGTTCTAAGGTACCTCTTAAAGTAACAATCTCATTCATGTCAAACATTCTCCAATGTGGCCATGGTAACTTCGAAGTGACCCTAGAGAAATTCTGCCAGGTAGAGAGACGGGAACAGGAAAATATGAAGGAAGCAGGTGTTTAATAGAGGAGAGTTGCAGTTTTAGATTCAGAAAACCCTGTGAGAACTCCCATGGGCCGTAAGGATGGTGCTTGTGCAATCTTGTGTCTCTAAAGCCTGCCTGAAGGCCATTACCTATCAGAGGCTGCATGGAACCTCCTGATTCTGGGCTGATGAAACAAAGTTCTTAAGGACACAAAGACATAACTGAAGAAGTCGTTTTAAGGTTTTATTTTAATAGCTTTATTGATTCATAATAGAATACAATAAACTGACATACATAGAATAATAAGGTAATAGTTTTGACATATGCACACATTCCTGAAACCATTACCACCATCAAGATAATGAATATATCCCAAGGTTTTCTCCTGACTTTTAAAAAAATTTTTTATTGATTTCAGAGAGGAAGGGAGAGGAAAAGAGAAAAACATCAATGATGAGAATCATTGATAGGCTGCCTCCCGCATACCCCCTACTGGGGATCGAGCCTGCAACCCAGGCATGTGCCCTTGACCAGGATTTACCGTGACCTCCTGGTTCATAGGTCGGCACTCAATCACCGAGCCACACTGGCCAGGAATTCTTGAACTTTTTAAAAAATCCCTTTCTTCAGCTCTTCCATGCTACTTTGAGGCAACCACTGATCTGTCACTCTAGATTTTCATTTCCTAGATTTTTATACACATGGAATTATACAGTAGGCTGTTTT